TCAGCAGATAGGAATGCCAATTAAGAGGACCTTGCATTTACGTGGCCGTGGCCAAGTAGATCATTTTACCGACTAGGGAGCCTGTTGGGAACGTAATTTGACGGCGGACATCGATCCATTGAAGGCCCCGACACTCCACTTGTTTACCCCCTTGTTCTGTTCATCCTCCCTCGAGGAAGATAAAAACGGCAGGCGAGTTCATGCATCGAATTTTGTGTGTGCTGTAGTTTCGGAAACTCAAATATTGCTATCACAGGAGTTGTGTGTTGTCTGTGCCTGCTGGTCTTGAATTATTCGGTTGCATCATCTGTCATGTATTACAACTGTGTTCGGTGCATGAACTTTGACCACGCCGTCGGCTGTTGACTAGTTTTGAACTCTCCGTGACTGATGGCTGGCGGACTCGCGTGTTTGTTGTAGCTGCAGCGAAGTCAGAGTGCCTGATGGCCTATCCGTGTCAACCGGTGAACTGACCAGTTGCTACTATTCATGCAGATTGCAAGCCGTGTTTCATGCTGGTCATGTGACCTCCCCGCGGGATTCAGCTGTCAGCTCTGCCGGGCTATCCATTCAGTCTATTGCCCCTGTCCGAAGTGTTCTGCGATTTGTGCGTAGCTCCTGGTAGGCAGGTTACAATTCTACGGCTCAGCTAAGTGCGCCAACAGAGGATCAACTTTAAGGCATCAGTCTAGCCCTTTTCCCGTCGGCTCGGTCATTGACCTTCATTTTCCTAAAGACATGACCGCGTTTCTGCTGCCCTGTGTGGCCATAGGCCAAAGCCAGTTCATTCCTGCGTCCCGGCACAAGATAACACTATCTGCAGCTTGCAATAAATCCTAGCGAACGGGCCGGGCAAAGTTCGGACAAAGAACACGGTTGTACTGTGATACAAGGGACAAGGTCTAAAAAATAAATGCCAAAAGAGACAGCCAATGCATCAGTCTGGTGATAAGAACGAGTAGTTTGCTTAGACACCTGTACAAACACTTTTAGAATCGAACGGTTTGTCTCGAAGAATTTGTTCCATTGTTCGCGCATTTATATCTG